GGCACGGTCCCCGCACGCAGTTTGGGAGCCGAGGTGTATGTATTTCCTTCCCACACGGCCGTGTTTGTCATGTAGCGGAGGCTGTGCCGCAGCCCAGGCACGTGTCTTTAGCTGGCTGCGCTGACGTGCGGGGTATGTGTGCGTGTGTGTTTGTGCATGACGCGGTAAGTGTGAGATCTGAGTGAGCCGGCTGCGTTGTGCGTGGCGTTTGCATATTTTATGCTTGGGAAGGCAAAGAACACCAAGTTTTCCTGAGCAAATATTTGCATATTTTCCACTTGTTCGAGCAGATAAAGCATTTTAATTCTCTGTTGAATCCTCAGGAGAGCCAGGAACATCTTTTCAAGGGTGTTTCCCTTTCTTGGACCTCCCCGTCTCTTTTATCTACTGGCTACCCTATTTCAACAGCTGATTAATTGCTCCTTGCCCCCTCCCCACACCCCCTTGTTCCACGGTCCTGTACAATAGCTGAAGCAGAACGTGGCCTGGGCAGTTTTGCTGTTGCCTGAGCTGAGCTGCTCTGTTTCCCTGCTGATGACAAATACAGCGGCTCCCCAACAATATTAACTGTGGGCTGTGTTAGTAACAGCCTGGAAACGCACCCTTGCCTCTCCATGCTGGAATCCCTCCACGATCGCCATTCACTGCCCTTCCAGTTTCTCTCCTGAAGATCCACTGCAGAACAGAAGTGTCACACTGAGTGGATCCTAAGCTGCTCCAGCACACTGTTGGGCTGGCAGAAATGTGCTCGGATGTGCATGTATGGTGGGTCCGTGTGTGGGGAGGGTCGTTTGCAAGGTCCGGTTATCATCTCCCAGTTTTAGCCCATGCCTGGGTATGAAGGTGCATGCGCCATGTTCTTGTGTTCGTGCTTAGGCCAAGAGGTACGTGCATGTCTGGGTATGTGTGCATCTGTGTGGGTGGCCATATATAATCTCACGCACACACAGATATACTTGAATCAAAGCACCCACAGACATGAATATGTATATATATTTATACACACTCACACAGTCGCATGCACCCACACATACACGCATGCTGTCACATCAATACTCATTTATATGCATGTATACACATCACATACATATGCCTCTCAATATCTGCTCTTGTGCACTCTGACGTGTGCATATGAACTCCCTGATCAGCTGGCAGAATGGGCTGTCCGTGTCTCTAACACCCTGTCTATGATCAAACATTCGCTGGGAAGAGGCATTGCCCAATGCTGCTGAAATCATTGCGGCCCTTTCTAGTCTTGCAGCTCTGATCTCTACGTGATGAGAATAAAACCTTTTGTGCAGCACAGGGCTTGATGGAGCCCTTATCTCTGTGTCTCTGCACCCGGAATAGAAAAATCCATTTCCACATCTGACTGGAACAAATTCCCCTGAACACAGCCAGAATTTCACTTAGCCACTGCGCACAGTCCCCACGGCCTCTGGGTTGCCCAGAGTCAACTGCACCGTCGTTAGTAGGGGGATCACAAGGGCAGCTGGATTAATGTTATTACCACAGAAAAAGCTGGGGATTCACCAGGAGAGAGACAGAGCTGAGGAGAGAGGTAGGGGTCAGGAGGCAGTGAGGTACCATCCGTCATTCCAAACGTCTGTTCCTATGAAAAGCAGCTTTTTAATCAATGGTGGTAATTTGCGGAATTTTGTAGCGTTTGTTTTCTCCTCATTAATTTCAGACAAAACATACCTTTTCTTTTCCTTCCCCCAGTCTTATTTTCAGTTCATCTCAATTTTTTTTTTCACAATTTGTCACTGAGAAACAGGGTGTGGTGTAGGGGGGAGAAGAAAACACAAGACAAAAATATGATGCTTGTGACCCCCTTTCTTTTAAACTCCTGTTTATACTAAAGACATCCAGACTTTTGCAAGTCTCCCTGCAACACATTTCGCTTTCCCCAGCAGGCTCCCCTGCAGAGCTGCCTTGCTAGTGGGCTCAGACTCCACGTTCAAATTGATGTCCCCTTGGTGCACTTGCTTGATGCTGGCATTGCAGTGCTGGGGCTCTTCAGAGATGTAGGTATTTTAAGCAGCCATCCAGTTGGTTGAGTTTCTTGAGTGGTGACTTGCAGCAGATGGAGCTGCAAAGGCGTGCGAAATGAAGTCTCAGCTCAATTCAGTGGTGAAGCAGAGCTGGTCTGTTAAGTGTGTTGGCAGCCACAGAACTCCCCCATCTCCCCATGGCAGCTGGGCAGCCACTCTGTGGAGAAGGAAACCCTTCCTATATCTGCCCCCCACCTATCTGAGCTCCTGTAAGGTCCTTGTTCGGTGTCACATGCCTTCTTCAGTGCCTGGTCATCAACTAGGAACAGCGCTACATGCTCCCCAGCTAATACCATTTCTCCTCTGTCCTACAGTGATGGCTGTGCCAGTGGTGCCCAGCGTTCACCTTGCCCTGCTCCTCACTGCAAGAGGAGCAACACAGACCCGCATTTAAAGTGATGCATTGTCCATCTACCTGACCACTTGGTAGCCAGGCCTTTTAATCTTTCTACTGTTTGTTGCCCCATATAGTGATAGAGAAGCAGGAGATTTGGCAGTTCATCATTCTGCTAGGATTTCTTGATTGTGTTTCGTCCAGTGGATGCTGCAGGAGCTCCCCAAGTGAAAAAAAAAAAAAAAAAAAAAAAAGAGGCTTTTTTAGTCCAACAGACTGTGTACCCGACACCCATGAACAGTTTGGCTGCTCTTCTCACTGGGGCCTACAGCGTGGGCAGCTGATGCATGGATGGAAGGAGGAGAAGATGTGAAGAAGTAGCAGAGGATAGAAACTGGCTACCAAGCACTTTCTTTTCCCCATGAGTTGAGCCTGAACTCCTGGGTGTCTGACTGTCCATACTCAGGGGAGCAAGTGCACTTTGTAAGAGGAGCTAAGCAATAGCTGTGTGGTATCGATGGTAGCTCTGCTCCTGAGCCTGAGCCTACAGGCACAGACAGCTTGGCACCAGCACCCCAGGCTCAGAGGAAACAAGAGGATGGAGGATTCATAGGGACAGTCTTTCTCTGTCAGGGAGACAATGGCTGTACCAGTGGCTGAGAGTACAGCTGAATGTCTTTTGCTTGGTCATGTCTGCAGTCCTTCCTGCCTTTTCTCTGCTCTCTGGCCTGGCTGGGACCTGTCTCCTCACCCGATGCCCTGTGACAGTCCTTTCCCGAACTCAGGCGCCCTGCACTTCAGTTCCGCTGATGCCTTCCAGGCCTTCACTTCTCACATTGCCTTCGGGTGACCTTGTCTCTTGCTTCCTCATGAAGTGGTTCTGTTCCCATCATCCTCAGCTGCTGCAGCTTGTTCTGCTTCCCTGTCCAGGGCTTTTGTCTTTTGTCCCAGCACACCTGACCCCATGACATCCCTTCACATCTCATGCTTTCTCTCAAGTGGCCTGTGAAATATCTTTCCATCACCCAGCCAGTTCTTGTCACTGACCCTCCACTGGCTGCCTCTTCCAACATCTCCAGACCTCAGGAAGGCGAGTCTTCTCCTGGTGGGTCCCTCCTTCCCATTTCTCAAAATAATTTGTGGAAAAAAGTGCCCAGATATAACCAAGGGCTATGGTATGAGAGTCTTGGTGGCTGTAGCTTAGCAACAGCACTCATAGAGAAGTTCAAGGTGTGGGGACAGACACTTAGCAGAGCCTGCAGGAATGAAACCAAAGTGGAGAGAGAGACCTTCATCCCACTCGCCCTTGTGCATTGCTGCTCCTCTAGCCTGCACACTGAGACAGACCCACCCACAACTTCCCTCCAACAACTGGTGCGCAGAAGCAAGCATTTATCCAACACTCACAGCAACACACGTACTCTCACACTCTTACCCAAGAAGTCACACGCGAGCACATTTTTATGTGCCCAACCCACGTGCATCTCCCACCAGCCCTGATTCCTCAATCTCTGATCCTATTCAGCCATTCTCATACATGCACAGTCCAGTGATCAAACTTTTGCATACAACCACCTTTGTGCACATGCAGACACATAATTTCTTCATCCTGAGCCAAATACTCTACCGTCTCCCACAAGACAAATCAGTTCCTAGCATTGCCCAGACTCCTGCAACCATACCTCTCACACACTGGAGATTTCCCCGACCTCCCTCTGCTCTCTGTCCCCGTCCCATACTGATACATGCCTTGATCTCCTGTACCAGCCAAACGTTAGTCCATACAGAGATCAACTCATCTCAAAGACATTGTGTATGCTCAAGAAGAGCCAAATCTATAGCACCTCCCTCCCCTAAACACACAGAATGGTTCTGCCCAGTTGGCTTTTTAAGTCCAAAGGGGTTTTGTTTATTTACAATAAGGCTTAGGGAGAGGTAAAGGGAAAGGGCATTTCAGCTTGTAAGAAAACCTGCTTTCAACCCATGCCTCGTTGTTTTCTTCTCTACCCTCGTTATGTCTTCCACCAGGGTGCAGAGGCACCAGGAAAACCCTGGAGAATGTGAGGTGCAGGAAAGAAATGTCCCATTTGCTCTCCCAGGTAAGTCTTATCAGCCTGTCCAGAGTCCATGAGAGCCCTGGAAAGAAAGAGGAGGCTTTGAGCAGTCAGAGTGGTCTCCAGCCATGACCAGCATGGGTAGGAACATTGTCCCCAAGACTTATTAGAAAGCTAGAGGCAGGGTCAGCCATTCATGCAACTGGCTGGTGTGTCTTCGCTGCAGACATCTTTCCTTCTCATTTTTCTTTTAGGATAAACCGCTTCTCAAGTTTATAACGGAGATAATCAAGGCACTGGGATGCCTATTTATTGAATATGCCATCTGAGGACTTCAGTGAGGTGCCACAGCCAGATGGCAGCTGATGCCCTTCACGGATGGGTCATTGAAGGATGAATCATGCAATCTAGGGCTGACCTTGCTCTCTCCATAAAGTCAGTGCCCATATTTAATATTCCCTTGTATCAATGTCTCCCATTGCCTTTGAGGTGGAAAAGCACAGAGGGTGAAGGGGATCCCATATCCCAATGTGTCTTTCCCCTGCACCATCCCTTTCATCATAAATAACTGACATGCAACTTGTTGCTCTTTTCGCATCCTGCGGGCTCCTCAGGGAGTGGTTTTTGCTCATTGCTTTCTCCTTCCCCACTGGTTAAAGGGTGCTCCTGCCTGTCATTACCATTCTGGGTGATCTTGCTGATCTCACCCTCTTCCCCTTCATCATCAGTCTTCTCTGGGAGGCATGCTGGCACCTCCTGGCTCTGGACTCGGCGGGACGGCCTGAAGATGGCCCTCCTGAAGCCCTGCTTGAAGCGGTAGGAGAGGAAGCCATAGATGATAGGATTGGCACAGCTGTTGGCATAAGGCAACACCACCACGAGGAAGTAGACGCCAAAGAGGGATGGCTCCTCTGGCAGTGGGCAGACAACATTGATTATGTTGAGGACGTAGAAGGGGAGCCAGCAAAGGACGAAGACAGCCACAACAGCCACCACCATGCGGGTCACTTTGCGCTCTGAAAGCTTGTGCTTGGAGGACAGAGCCCTCACCCGCCTGCCGGAGGAACGAACCTTCACAACGATAAGAAGATAGCAGAGACAAATCACCAGCAGTGGCCCAAAGAAGCCCAGGGTGGCAGTGTAGACAATGAAGCCCGCTCGCCACACCGAGGCAGGCTCTGGCCACTGGATGTGACATGTGCTCATCCCTAAAGGGACGTCTGAGAAGACGACCACAGGCAGTACCACTACGGAAGACAGCACCCACACAGTTGCACTCACAGCCTTGGCCACCCGTGCTGTCCGCCATTTGGAGGACTTCCCTGGGTGGACCACAGCCAGGTAGCGGTCAACACTCATCACCGTCAGGCAGAAGATGCTGGTGAACTGGTTGATGGCATCCACGGCCATCACCAGGCGGCACATGAAAGATCCAAATGGCCAGTAGGACAGGGCATTTTGTGCAGCCAGGAATGGCAGGCCCAGCATGAAGAGCTCATCAGCTAGGGCCAGGTTCAAGATGTAGACGTTGGTCACCGACTCGCTCACAGAGTGCCGCAGGACCACGTAAATAACTAGAGAATTCCCAGCCAGCCCCACCACACAGACAATGAGGTAGACCAGGGGGATGAGGACACCGCTGACAACCACACCAGGGCTGGCAGTGGTGGAGCTGTTGGGGGTGGTGAAGCCTGCCCAGCTGCCAGAGGCATTCCCCTCGTTCGACACTGCTGGTGTGGGGTGGCTGAAAGCAGAAGTGTCCATAGCAGAGGCAGGGAAGAGGGCAAGGGGGCAGTGTCCGTGCAGGATCAGTTAGCAACCTGGAGGTGAGAGGAGGAGAAAAAAGCCATTGATACTGAGGACATGACAGCCGAACAAGTCACAGATAAAATCATCACATTAACTGTGTGTAGGTATTGACAGGCATGGGAAGTCAAGGTGAGTTTGAGGATGCTGGCAGCCACTGGAAGATGTAAGATAATATCAACCCCATCTAGTCCTGGGAGGCACGGTGGGCATGGAAGGACAAACAGGGACAGGACTCAGTGTGGGCCAATGAATCCTCTCCCCTAGGGAAAGGTCTTCTGGGGAAAGAACCATAGACTAGCATAGGGACAGGGAAATTTCTCGTTTTCTGCTAATGGCTCCGATACTGGTGACATAGTCACCAGGTGCCTGATTCTCATTTAGTGGCAGGTGGGTGTCTTATGAACAAAAGAGGGAAAAGCATCTAGTGATGAAGTGCCATTCCAACTCTGGTTCCTCTATTCACTGAGTATCCTCCTGCTTGCTGAAGCTCTTCTTGGACTAGCCAGGTTATCATGGGGTTGTTAGCTCCACCAGCAGGAACAAAAGCACCTCCACTCTCAATCCAAGCTGAGAGGCTGAGCTCAGCACCTGAGCTGGAGGGTAGCAGTGTGGTTTGTGTTATGCCAGTTTGAGAGCAAAGGAAGAGCCGGATTATTTTGGGTACATCAAGAGGTATCAGTCCAGATCTCTCTTGTCTCTTTTCTCTCTCTCTTCTTCTGCACCCTGCAACACACTGCTAATGGAAGAGGCTCTGCCCACCCCAGCTGTTTGCAACACCAATGCAGTGTTCCAGTCTTCCTAATCTGAGGTGCCCAATTGCCTGTCACATCAGGGTTTGGCATGGAAACAGCACTCCGCTCACTCAGAGATAGCCTTGAATAAACAAGCTCGCCACTCGCCACCAGGTCTCTGCTGACAGTGGGTGAGAAGCTGCAGGGAGAGAAGAGACATATAAGGGAAGGACATGCCTTTTGTCTTTTGTCAGGTCTCCAGATATGAGATACAGAGCCCAACACATACTCCAGACAAGAGACGCCCTGGCAAACCTTATGCAGGGGAGATTTGTGATGCTTCCAGGATCACTCCAGTTCCGGCAATGACTGGCAGGGTCATCCTGTTGATGAACTAGCTCCTTGGAAAGGAGGGGTGACTTGGTGGAAGAGAACAGGAAGCCTGAGGCTCACCTTTACCCATCCCAACAAATCTCTTAGGGCTCTGAAGCCTCTTTGTTACTGAAATGAAAACTGAGCATCTCAAAGTAAAGGACTCCCAATATAAACTACTTGTAGGAGGTCAGAAACAATCCACAGACTTTTCTTCCGGATGGGATTCTCTGTAGCAACTTTCTTCACAAATGTTTTAATATTACAGCTTTTGTCCTTTTTTTGTAGATGTCATTCCAACTTCTGGAAACCTTAGGGGAGACTTGAGCTTTAGATGGATTCCTTGGATATCAGATAGGCAAACCCAACAGACTCCACAGATGTATCAGATCTTATGCTGAAAGAACGTCATCTGATAGGCCCATAATAACATGGTTGGGCAACATGTCTTAAGGCCTTTTCTACAGGCTATTGCATAAATGTTTCGTGCTATACTTAAATGGGCTTTGAAGGACTGAAATTGTTTAGACTTTCTTTATTTGCGGGTGCCTTGGGCTGTGACACACTGTCCTGATAGAGGCCTATCTCTTGGGGTGCTGCAGTAATGAGTTGTCCTACACATCATGAGTGGCTGCAAAGAATGGACAGAGTGGGAAGTGATTTGAAACTCTATTTCTAAGCTCGAGTGGTATTTTTTTCCAGTGCTGTTCCAGTGATGCAAGTCACTTGTTGGAGGAAAGGGGAAGGCCACAGCTGCTCTGGGGACAAAGATCCCTGCAAAGGGTGGCAGAGACCAGAACTGTATGTTCATAAAAAGATGATACTCTAAAAGGTGGGGCTGTAGTTAGGAATACCTTTGGATGTTCCTCCTGCATGCAAAGGAATTTCCAAAAAAAAAAATCATTTGGAAACAGCCCTACAAATATCAAATATGGATGGGGACACTCATGCTGGTTCTGAAGAGCATTTGAGGCAGTGTCTAGGGTCTAGACTTCAAAGCTGATTGCTCAGACTGTGGTTTAGCAATACAGCAAACCCAGCCTCAGGGCTCCAAAAGCCCTATCAAAAATGCCAAGGCATGCAACACAAAGCACGGATTCACTATAAACTCATTCTCCTGCTCAGACAGCTGCAGTGGAGAAACTTTGTCTTTAAGCAGGCATAGCTTGTCTGTGCCATTCTAACTTTGTCAAGTACCACCTACCAGCTCAAAAGCTGTATCACACATTCTGGCTAGTTCAACAGAACAACCACGGGACACCAGTGCCTCATCTGGGTTGCATCCACTCTGATGGCTGCTTTGGCAGCACGCAAATAGGTAGGAATTGATGAGGAACCTCAGCCTCCGACTGATAGTGCGTTGGCATCTGCTTGGGGTCTGTTCCTGATGTGGATAGCAACTTGAGGCTTGGGATCCCCTAACAGGTGCTGCCAGAATATACCTGGTCCATACATCTGGAGAGCAGGAGGAAGGCAGAGAGGTAGGAAGAGACAATAAATTGGTGCTACTGCTTTCTTTAGGAAAAAAAAATACTATCTATCTATCTATCTATCTATCTATCTATCTATCTATCTATATCTGCATTGAATGAGAGGAGGAGGTGGATGCTAAAAGCTGAGCCCAGACCTGGTTACAAAACAGCAATAGAAGCTGGGAGGGACCACAGAGTCCAATAACCTGCAACCCCTCTTGCCACCCTGCACACCTGTCCACCTTGTTTCTCATGGCCCTGCTCCAGCTGAGGACTCCCCCTGCCTCACCTCGGGGCTGAGCTCTCTGCTAGGGATCAGGCTGGGCTGGCAGAGTTGGGGGGTCGGGAGAGGGCCGGGGAAGGTCGGCAGGTTTCCTTCTCTGGGACCGCAGTTAACTTCTACGTGGACTCACGCCCGCGGGAGACATCTGGGAAGAGTTTTTCGCCGGGTACTTACGTGCCGTCGGGATGTACATTTTCCTCTGCTTCACCGGGAGAATCCGTGTCATGTTTTTTTTCCGCTTCCCCTTTCTTAAAAGCAATTGAGCAAAGCGGTACCAGGAGAGAGCCAGTCCCACCGTGCGCTACCGCAGACGCAAGTCCTTCTTCCTGGACCTGCCCATCGCCCCCCTCCGTGACTGCTGTGGGACTGGGGCCCACTCCCGCACCGGCTGGCGGCCGCCCGGGGATGCGCGGTCCCTCGCCCTGACGCCGG